CGCACGTTCTAGCTTCAAGCAAGGTAAGTCACTTTGACCTTAAACTTTTCGTTTTAAGCATATACGTAACATTTGTTTCCTTTTCGTTTCCACCTTTTCAGTTTTTTTCCATTGCTAACCTTTTGGTTTTGTTTTTTGGTTTATCAAACGCTTTTAAGAACTAACCTGGCCATGAGAGAATACTAGCATGGCTTCAGGCCATGTTGCTATTTAAATCCCAAACAAAAGAAAACAGGAGGAAGGAAGTATGAATTGAAGCTTTAGGCTTCCCCCTGGATGCTTCACAGTTGCAAGCAGAACAAAGAGTGTGGCCTTAGGCTTCGCCACACACTGACCTCCAGGCCATTCGAAGGAGCAAAAAAAGGAGAAATGAAAGTTGTCCATACTAACTTCCAGGCCCAATCGAAGAAGGAAGCAAGGATCTTGGGGTGAAGAGTGCACCTCATGCTAATTCCAGGCCCCAATCGAAGGAAGCAGAAAGGCAGAATCGAAGGCTGCATCTCATGCTTCACGCTAAGCCCAAATCGAAGGGAGCCAGAGAAGCAGAATCAAAGGGTTCTGCTTCCCAAATTGAAGCACTCATTTTTCCTCCTTTTATTTTGTTTTATCTTTACGTTTTCTTGCTATTCAATATGGTTGTAATAGTTTAGGATTTATTTTATGCTTTTTTATTGCTTTTTTACAAATGTTAGTAATTAGGATGTATGGAAAGATAAAACCAACAATTAGACAACCCAAAAATCAAATACAAAATGCATGCAATCAAACACACTATTCACACATGCACCTCTAGGGTAATCTCACTTGTTGCCTCAGAAAATAGTCATGTCCCTCGAATATGGGTGTTTTAGCAAAGACCCTCGATAAAAGATCGTAGTCCCTCGCTGACCCTCGATGTTGCCTTCGGTAAACGATCTAGTCCCTATACGATAATTACTAAAACGTCCCATAGGTTGCCTTTTATGACTATACAAACGACCCACGCCTGTCCCTTCACATCCAACGATTGGGATTTCTTACCAAATCAATGATAAGATAGCAATATCTAAAGGAGTAGGAAAAGAACTTAGATCTTTTAAGTAGGTAGGATGTCCATAGTTGATTGCTTGCTCACAACAAAAACATTTTTCTACACCAACACTTTCAATTGAAACATTTTCAAAAGACAAAGCTCTTTGTACGCATTCTTATAGAGAAGAGAATCATTACAAAGACACTTTTCAAAATCACTTTCAAAAACACATTCCACAAACACCTCTTTGAACTATTTTCAAAACCAACACTATGTACGTGTTCTTATAGAAACGAGAATCATTACAAAGACATTTTCAAAATACTTTCAAAACCCATACCACAAGCACATTTTCAAATAAAAGCAAGTGATCTAGCAAGCAACTAAGATCTCGTAGATAACTACGGATGAAAAGAGTGCTAATACCTTCCCTTTTCATAACTTACCCCCCGAACTCAAGAAATAATCTCAAAAGGTCTTTCCTGTTCTTTTCAACCTTTCCTTATTGGATAAAAGAAAAGTCGACGGGGACTCTTGCTATCCGCAACAATTGCGATCAAACGCAAAACACCCAAGTCATTTCTCCCACTGTATTACAATAATAAACGTAGATAAAGATCCAAGCACCGATGAAAAACATTGATAAGATCCGAGCATTGATAAGATCCCTTGATGATTTTTGAGGTGGTAGTCATAAGATTGTTCTCCAATTTTATTTTCAATCGGTTATTTTTGAATGGACTGATTTTTTTGAATTTTTCGGTCCATCGGGATGCCCTAACCTTTGCTTAAGTCAAGTTTTGATTTCCTTTGACTTAGCAGGCTTTCTCCTTTTTTTTGAATTTATTTTTTTTGCTTTTGATTTTGAAAACTTGTGACTGCCACGCTGATTATTGTAAGCTTCGTCTTTATTGTTTCCTCGATTTTAAATGATGTATTGAGGAAGAAGATGTCGTGGACTTTGTCTTTGTCGATTCCTCAATCTTGGATGATGAACGCGAGGAAAAGGATGCCCTTGAACCTTTTCTTAGATCATTTCCTCAATGATGTATCGAGGAAAGAGATATGTTTGAACTTTTTGTTTAGATAAATCACTTCTCTTGAGAATAGAATGCGCCATTGAATTAATTGAAAGATTACCCTGCTCCTGGTTGAAATTAAGGGTTTTTTTAGAAAATAAAAATAACTCTAAATTCTGGATCGAGGGAGTTAACTACGGATTATCTCCTTATCTCTCCACTATTTGGGAAGTGAAACAATGCCTTACATCGTTAGCTAAGCCTTACTATTAAAAAGCATATGTCAACAAAATTTGATTATTTAGTTTTCGTCATTCTCCCTCGAAGTTTGTTAAAGAAAATTGAGAATTTAAGAGTGAAAAGTGAAATGGACAGTGGTGAAAGAGTGAATACAATGAAACTGATTTCAAAAACATGCATGATTACTTTATTAGAATTACTGATCCAAAGATATCAATTTACACCAAATGAAACTTAGCAACTAGGAAATTACAATTTGTAACTGATAAAGCCTAATGATCCTATGGAAGGGATCCTTTGTTGATCCACGTGACTTCAGGAGATTCTTCATACCAATTCTGTTGATAGGGCAATAGGGGAATCACAAATGAAAGTTGAAACTGAGGCGTTGCATAGGCTTGTATGGTGAAGGGCTGCCTTCTCTCTACAATAAGATTTGTTGGACCAAGCTCCTTCGAATCTCCAACGTTCGACCTTTCATTCACCAATCTAAGATTTTCTTGAAATGCTTGGGCTTGGTTCTTGAGCATCGGGAAATTTGTTAGCTAGATTGATAGCGACCACGTGCGAAGGTGAAAATGCATGACATGCAAATGTATGAATATACAAAAATGCATGGGTATGCAAAATTATTATTTTTTTGGGTAAAAAAATTATATGGATATGCAATGTGACACAAACGTAGTATGAAGGTAGACGTAGGGGTACCCTATACAAGTTTAATGGTAGATATGAAAATGATGATGTCCTACACTGACTCAGGGATTGAGACATGCAGGAACTCCTTAAGGACGAAGATAACGATATACATGGATATGATGATATCCTACATTGTCTCAGAGATTGAGACATGTAGGAATGTATTTAGGATTATGGCCTAATGAAAGATGACGAGAAATCCCTACAAGCTAGGGATTATGACATAGACGGAAGCCCTACGGGCTAAAGATAGTAGTGGAAGAAAAGATAACCCTTGCGAATTTAGGGATTATAGTGAGATTTGTGAGAGGTATCCTTAGTTGGTAGGTTCCTAGTATTGGCCTACAGATATTCTACTCTCCTCATAAGCTGGTTTCCTTAACGGTATCATGAATAACACTAGAGGGAAAGGCACAAGGGCCTCCCTTAAGTGGAGCCCCTTCGTAGACCAAAACTTTAGTCTCTAGGTCATGAAAGGTCTCATCATGAGATTTTGGTTTGAAGGTTGTACAAAGAGTCATAGGTGTCATTCCAAAGTCTTACTTCCCAAGAGGATGTCTCTTGAGACGTATTTATTTCGTGGAATTCCACCGACTCTAGGCGAAGTCGTCACATAAACTCATAGGACTGATGTATCTCCTTGGCTAATAGACGAACCTTATTTCTAAGGGTTTTTGAAAATATTTTTTTGCAAAACTTAAATTCCACCACAGATATAACAATATGATAAAAATAACAATAGATAAATAAATAGTTAAATAAACAAATATAAAAAACCCAAAAAATAAGAAAAACCCTAAAATCAAAAGACAAGGCTTCTAAATCTAAGGTTGAGTCCCCAGCAGAGTCGCCAGCTGTTGTAACTGGATTTTAAATCGAGTCGCCACTACTAGTTTTTATCCTAAGGAAGGGAATCTAATAGGAAACCCTAATTTGTACACACAGATTCTAAGTTATTACTTTGTTTAGACGAATGGAAGGTGTTAGGCACCCCTCATCTACCTTGTTCGCAAAGGATACCAGGGTTTAGATTTTAAAGGTTTAGGGTAAGGGCTTTAATTTTTTAATAGGGGAACCCGCCACGATTTTAGTCATATATATATGTATCCTCTTAAGAGGAATCATAGTCCCAATTCGTAGTTCGCAGTTGTTTGGTTGGTGTTTTTTATCGGATTGCGTAGAATTGCTTTCGAATTTATCCTTGAACCTTGTTTGGGTTGAAAATTGAGTGAGCGTAGACGTAGTTCGCAGTTAATTTCGATAACAATTCTCCTTAATCCTTTTTCGAAAATATTCTTGAATTTGATTATGTTAGTAAAAAAATGTTTGAATTGTTGGTTAGCTGTTTCGAAATTTGATTTGGTTTGTTTATCGCGTATGGTAGGACATGGAGCGGGAGGAGTCTGATATAGTCTCCTCATCACGTGGTCAGATGATGGCCACGTGTTGCTCGTCATGAAGGATGCATAGGGAGTCTGATATAGTCTTCCCCCTCACATGACCAGATATTGGCCATGTATCGCCCGCGGATGGAGTGTCTGATAAATTGCACGGATTTTAATTATTTAAAAAATATATCGAATTAATTAAAAAAGTAATTTAGATAAATGTTAGTGATTATTTGATATTTTGAATTTTTTATATTTAACAAAATTAACTAAGTTTAGTAATTAATCCAAAATTATTGAATAAACTAATTAAACAATGAGATGGGGTGCCAAGCTGAATTGAGATTATGGTTAGTAGAAATGTGGAACGATATGGCCCAAGGCCCAAACCAAGTGACTAACCCTAATTTATCATACAAATAAGTAATAAGAAAAATTAAATGATAAAAGAGAGTTCTTTTTTGAACTTTCAATTTAAAGCACCAACCAATCATATGTAGCCATTACAAATTAAAAAATAATTATTATTATAAATAAATAAATAAGTAAATGAGATAAGGTAAATAAGGACAGATGATACCCAATGAGAGAGATTGCACTTCTTCTGCTTTCCTCTTTCACGATATTCTCTCCTCTTTCTTCTTACAATCTTCCTTTCCTTTGTTTCCTAAAACATATAATTGAATCAACGAGATAATTTCGGAAATTACCATGCAAACAAAGAGGCATGTTGAACCGGTGATGATGGTGATGTCGCGGATGCGATCGCGAAGAGGATGGAAGGTCGCTGTTGTTGTTTGATGGTTCCGGCGGAGAGTACGGCGCGGACAGCCGCTGTGGTCGTGGCTGGGCTGTGCGATTTACAGCAGCTGCTGAGTTGGTAGTCATGCTCGCGGTTCAGAGGTGACATCGAGATGCGTTGCTCGATTTCGCCGTGAAAGATTCTGATCTTTCGTCTATATTTGTTGCCATGAGAAAGATTTTGGCATCTGCTTCAGATTGTATTTTTTTGTTATTCTGTGCATTTTCCTGCAAAAGGCAAAATCAAACTTTGTATTCTGTTTTATTTGTTTGAATTTGTATTATACATGTTATTGCTTATGATGTGAATTGTTAAAGTGGAGGTGAAGTTGTGATGTGAATTGTTAAAGTGGAGGTGAAGTTGTGATGTTGAAAATGTTTAGTAAAGCTAATATCATAGTGTTTATGGAGATGTTGTATAAATTGTTAGAAAGTTGGGAAGAAAAGTTGATATGGGTTATACGTTGATTTATGAAAGAAGTGTAAGTAAATAAAAAAAACATGATTACTGTTATTGCAATTAGGAGGTCATGTTTTGTCTTACGTACAAGTTGTACATGTTTGGATCAAAATTTATATATAGAAAAAAAGTGTGGTTATCATTTACGGTGTAATCCTAAAGCGACAAAGAAATTGAAAAAAACGAGTATGTACAAAAAAGAGTTTTAATGTGTGTAGTTTTGTATTGAGAAGATGACACTTATGTAGTGAGTAATATGATGGTGATGTGTGAGTATTTGTTTGAGGAAATTATATAAGTGAGTTAGTATAAAAAACGTTTAGATACATATATTTAAAAGCATAGAGACAAGAGAAACAATATATATGATTTCAGATAACAAAATAAATTGAAAATCATAAAATTGAAAATAAACTGGAAAGGGGCCTCATATTAAAATCCTCGGCCGAAAAACACCAACGGAAAAATAAATTATTCTTCGATGTGAAGAACAATAACTCTAGTGAATTGTGGGTGGTTGTGAAATTCTGGATCTGTATAATTGTGAAATTCTTGATGAATCACTAGGACAAACTAAGGTCCTATTTATAGACTTGAGTTAGGTTAAACAAGCTTAGGGAATAAGTTATTCAAAAACTCAATGAGAAGTCCAAAGTTTGATCTCCACAAAAAGAAAGAAAATAGCAACAAAAAGAAATTAAAAAAATGTTAAAAATGCAACACACAAGATTCAAACCATGGGCCTCATATTAGCAAGCTACATTCCTTACCATCTGTGCTATGTTACTAATTCAAAATAAAAAGTCAATTGAAAGTACATGAAGACGAGCAAATATTTGTTTATTCAAAAATATAAATGATCTGAAATAAATCATTATATTTTTAAATAGGTTTGAAAGCGGATATTTATAAAGATAAAAAAAATATATTATAAAACCATTGTTGAAAATATTTTTGACCGTAGAAATAAAGGGCGGGCAAATTTGGGGTATGACATACATGTCTTAGAATGCCTAGTAAACTTGTTCAGAGTTCCTTGGTTAATCATCAAACAGACAAACACGCGTCAGTGATAAATGCACATTTTATATCATTTTATTATTATGATGAGTTTTTGCATTTCTTTAGGTTCATCAAAATCATTATACTTCTCCCCCCTTTTGACATCATCAAAAAGATAATTATGCATAAAATACATTAAACGTCAGAAGGCTTTTATCCTAATATTTCATTCAAGGAATTTCAGAGTACATTAAGAGAAAAGGGAAAAATAGAAGAAAACTTAGATTTTCTAAAACATTACAGATAAGATCTCAATCCTCAAAATTTTGAACTGTATCAATCTTAACACACTTTTCTTCAACCAATGCATTATCTGGTCCATTTTTCTTTATCAACTCCCACATCCTGTCTTGGATTATTATTTCAGATAATATCCTTCCGTAAGGAATATAGGATTGGATATGTGTTCTTGATATTTCAATGGAGTGTTTCAGATGGTTAAATATGGTTTGGGGAAGGTTGATCTTGTAGTGATGGATCAAGAGGAAAATAAAAATTATGTCATCATGAGACAAAGTGCTTCTTGTTGTGGCTCGGGGACGGAGGCTAGAAAGGGAGAACTTGAACCAATTCTTGGCTGATGGAAGAAGGGTTCCAGTATTAGTTAGCTCATATGGTACTGAACTGTCATGAAGAATCCTAAATCTTTCAACAAAACTTAGGTTGGATTGATAGTCACAAATGGTGACTCTAGATGATACACACTTAGTGACTCTTACAATGGAGGAGATGGTGACAACAATGGGAAGTCTGGAGATTTCAGACAAAATAGTGTTGTCGTCATCACTAATTTTTGCATACTTCCAGAATTCCTTCACAAGGATATGGAAGATGGTACCTCTAAGCAGAGTAAAGTAGCTTGTCCATGATTGAATTTTCATACTTCTTATTAGGTCCAATCCTTGGTGTTCGAGTCTAGGAAGATTGGGTCATTTTCCCTGAATGGTTTCAAGAGTTTTCTCATTGCCATGAAAAGTTATAGCAGACATTGTAAAATCAAGCGAAGGAAGATTTAAAGGGCTTTCTATTTGAACTGAGGATGGTGAAAGGTGAAAAGGAGACATCAACTATTTATAGAGACTGATAGAGAACCTAGGTCTGACATCTATTAGATAGGCTATGATTATCTTGGTGAAGACTAGAGAACCTAAATATATTGGGAAGGACAAAGAGTAATTAATCTTATTTATGAAGAGAATATTAGACGAAAAGAAGTTTGAGAGTTACCCTTTAATCTGTGGGGAAAGTAACAGACACATTTTAGACTTATTTCTCAGATACATATAAGAGAATATATTGTCTTGTTACTTGTCAAAACATCAAATGTCTAAAGCTTAACCTATGTTGTGGAGACACATGCAAAACTATTTTATCTCAGACTTTGATGAATTTATAATGCCTAAATATTAAGCAAATGCAGCAATATTGTTACATAAGATAAGAATATTACTATCATATATCTGGTAATCTTCCAGCTGATTCTTCATCCGTAGCATTCGAGAACCGCATAGTGCTGCTGAAATGTACTCTATTTTTGCTGTTGAAAGAGCATTTGTTGATTGTCTCTTGCTTGACCATGAGATCAGATTCTTGCCTAGAAATTGACAGTTTCCAGAAGTACTCTTCCTCTCTAGCCGATCTCCAGTGTAGTCTACATCACAGAGACCAGAAAGAGAATTATTTGATGTTTTCTCATACTTAAATCCAAGGTTAGAGGTTCCTTTTAGATGCCTTAGAATCCTATTAACAACAACTAAATGAGATTCCCTAGGATCATATTGGAATTTAGCGTAAAGATGGATACTGAATAAAATATCAACTCTAGATGCAGTCAGATACATAAGAGAGCCTATCATACCACGATAGATCTTATAACATACCTTTCCACTTACCTCTTATTTCCCGGGAATACTTGTTGGATGCATTAGAGTCTTTGCTATAATGCAGTCTGTCATGTTGAATTTCTTCAAAAGTTCTTTGGTGTACTTACTTTGATGAATGCAAGTAGCTTCTGGTTTTTGATCAATCTGAATTTCCAGAAAGAACTTCAATTCCCCCATGATGCTTATTTCAAATTTAGCATGCATTAACTTAGAGAATTCCTCTCAGAGGAATGGATTAGCAGAACCAAAAATAATATCATCAACATAAATTTGAACAATATCATTTTTTGAATGTTTTCCAGAAGAGCGTAATGTCAAACTTTCCTATGGTAAACTCATTTTCTAAAATAAAATTGCTCAATTTGTCATACCAAGCTCTGAGAGCTTGTTTCAAGCCATAAAAAGATTTCTTTAGTTTAAAAATAAAGTATGAATTCTCGGAGATTTCAAAACCAGGAGGTTGTTTGACATACACTTCTTCTGAAATATAACCATTCAGAAATGCACTCTTAACATCCATCTGACAAAGGATGATGTTATGATTTGCAGAAAAAGAAACTAACAACCAAATAGATTCTAACCTGCTGACTATTGCAAAGATTTCTATATAGTCTATTCCTTCTTATTGATTATAACCTTGTGCAACCAATCATGCTTTCTTTTTGAAAACTTCACCCTTCTCATTGAACTTGTTTATGAACCCATCTGGTTCCAATAACGTGGAAACCTTTAGGTTTCTAAACAAGATCCCATACATCATTCTTTGAGAATTAGTTTAGTTCTTCTTCCATAGCTAGAATCCAATCCTTATCTAGAAGGGCTTCCTCAATAGATGTGGGCTCTATTAAAGAAACTAGACCCAAAAGCACTTCATCAGAAGGTTTGAGTTTTGATCTTGTTCCGATTGGAGCATCTTTACTTCCAAGGATAAGATCTTCAGGATGAGAGGATGTGATTCTATTCTTCCTTGGTTGAGGTTGTACTAATCTTTAATATTCTGAACACTTCATCGATTCATTTATCTGAGTGCTCTACATTTTGATTTTTACTTTAGCTTGTCCGAACTTGATCTTCTGATCGTACTTTGTCATGTCCTTGAAGATCTTCCATTTGTCTTTAACTTTAGCTTTCTCTTAGATACAACTTCTGATCAACTTCTTTCTTCTTATACTTTCTTCAGAGCGGTCTTTCAAAGATTATGAAATATCTTCATATTTATTCCTCTTATTTATTTGAGTATTCTTAGTTTTATAATTTGAGAAGTGTTATACCTCAAATTTTTCCCTCTCTATTCTCAAAACATTTCTCACAAAAGATCTCAAATGCTCAAGGATTCTTAAGACTTGATCAGACAAGCTCACCTCCTAAGCATTAAGCCTCCAAATTAGGGTTTCAATTTTCTCAAGCACAATTGGGATTTTGATGCTTCAAATGACTTTCATGGTTCATTATAGGTCTTCAAGATTTCTCATACCAAGTTTCAAGTCTTGCATCTCAAAATTGCTCAATCAATTGCTAAAATGACTGAAAATGAGTTGTATTAGATAAAAAGTCAACTGTGGTCAAACTACAATCAAACTTCATGATTTTTGGCCAACATCAATATTTTAAAGTCATATTCATCAATTTATCAAGTGTTGACCATAATTCCTCAATAAAAACATTCAAATCATCAAAGGGGC